CTGTCTACACCAAAAGCGAGCACGCATTTCCGAGTGAGCACGTCGAATGGGCATATAAACGGATGACAAACGTTTCCCCTCAGGAGTGCGTATACGAAACATGGCAGCGCGTAGGAATCTTAATCAGCTCATTGCACTTTTAGCCCAATTTCCATATTATTATTCAATGGGTCAGCGAAGTCACTATAATATAGTTGAGGGAACTGGCAGCATACCCGTATTGATCTCTTCGAAAGAACTGACCCTAACTAATCATATATTATGTGTGAGTGTGGATAACAAGCAATCGGCACAGTTAGCAGCATTCTAAAAATAGAATATGTCAGGGTTTGGGACGTAAGCATCCCATTCCGTTAAATGCTCAGTACTAGATCACACCTACATCGATACAATTACGATTTTTTTTTTCAGAGGATAGCGGCTTCTTCTACTTTGCCAACCCGGGGTGTGTGGGATAAGTTCTCGTTGAACGACAACGCTACTCGATAAAACTGATTTTCGAAATGAGCGTTATGTCTACCAAGGGCGGCTTCTGGATAAACATTCGTCTTCGATACTGCCAAGACCAATTGGCGAAGAGCTATGGAACTCAAATGATTCAAGTAACCAATACTCTCTCAGGGATTCAAACCTCTATCGCCTACAGCACATTGAAGCAGGTAACGAACTAAGCTAACAGCGCCCCACATCAAAAAGAGGATTTGTGGGTCTGTCCCCTTATAGTTTTTCAATATCAAAATTATCCCTATCTTTAAAACGTTCTGCCCCTTGTGAAAATACGACTATGATATCCAAAGAATTCCTACAATTCCTAAACTGCAACCATTATAAAACCGAATTTAAAACAAGTGAGAGAGTCGATAGGATACACACGCACTCTCCTTTGCGAACAAGAGAAGGATTCATTAACACTAGTACGTCCATGTTTTCATGGTATCGTTTCTCATCATTCTGATGACAACGCACGCGTTACAGGGTAATCGAGGACCGATGGGATATCAGGTCTGGGTCTAAAGCTGAAAGAAAAACACCCGAGATATTTATCTATACTATTATAAAAACGGAGCCTAGTCCATATTTATAATTAATTCAACACAAGCAGTGCGACCGTTCCTTTTTTTGCACAACAATGACACAAAATAAGGTGAGTCAAGAGTTTCAAATAATTCTCAGCCCTTTCTTTTGGGGTTTTAAAATTCAATATTTTGAGCTCAAATCACTCAAAAATTGTCTTTGACAAATGGATTATATACATTTCCAGTTTCACTGCGGGTTTTAAAATAATGTAAAAAGCACTTCAGTGGCATGTCATATTCAAACAACTCGAGCAGCGGTATAATGTTCAGGATTAGAATACTTTTCTGAACTGATACATTCAGAGCGTAGTGCGTTACGTACAAATCAAAACTACAGATGTATTAGTATTAGGTACTTCAGTAAGAATCGAAGTCGTCATTTCAACATAAAGATTAAAGAAACGTAAGTTGGTTAAAATTCTAAGCTTCAGGAAGGAACCGCGTTAGTTTTCATTACATCACACTTCACCGACAGAGTCAACGAACTTTAAGAGTCTAACACAATTACAACTTCCTGCTTGTCCTTAGTTCTCCAGGATTAGGATAACAGTCTAATATAATTTCCATAGCAGTCATTAAGTGTTACAATACGATGTACACTATTACAATGTTCACACACACACACACTACGAGTCAAAGCATTGATTCCCAAGTCCTGGAATGTCAAGAACGGTGTTTCACCAACACCCTACAGATATCAATTATTTCTCTTACGATGTACGGCGTAGCGTTAGGTCATGGCAGGGCATAGCAAGCTACTCTGGCTGGCAAGGATTACGTAAAAGTTTGCATTGCTCAATGCGTCTTCTCACAAATGCCTTTTTAGCCGAAAGTATTTGTCATAGTAAAAACAAAGGGATCTCAGTTTAATCAAGCCTTGTCGATACAAGTCCAAAAGAACCTTCCCAAAAGTAGCCGTAGCCTTGTCAGATACGTTTGAAGGGACTGAAATCGTTGCGGCTCCTCTAAAATGGCACTGGCGGGTGCCCGGTAAAAAGGGGTACCCACATCAGAGTAAAAAACTGACGTGTAAAACGGATAAGTTCTTTTACTACTTGGGTAGATCGAATCCACAAATTCTCCAAGTCATGCGTAATGTTATTGAATATTCTTTATCAATATACATCTGTTCCTCTCGCAAAGCAAGAAAAATACTTTCGTTTTGAAAACAACGATTTCAAACATTGTTTTGCAGTTTCACCGATTTCCAATCCCACGAACAACATAAAGAAGCAACAATCATTTATGTTTGGCTTCACAAACAGTATGATTTGCATAAATTTAAACACACAGTCTAAAATCGAAAACAAAAAACCCGTTTTAGTCCCGTTCTCTAAACGTGGTTTTCTCAGACCGATGTCTAATACATTGGATTGGACAGAAAAGTCCTTATTATACAAAGCCCAGAAAGCTAATAAATAAAAGGATCTTAGAGACCTCTAAATATGAACATTTGGCTCCAGACCTGCAAGGTACTAAACAAACCACACATATTTAAAGCATTTGTCCTCAGTTAAAATTTATCTTTATAGAAAAAAGATACCCCCAGAATATAAGAGATACGAGTGCATCTTCGAGACGTCATGGAACAAACACACAATGAATATAATTAATGTTCTGGGCCAGTAATCTCTCAAGGAATACAATTCCTATATGGTTGAGGTGTGAAAATGCGTGAACATTTAGGCACATGAAAACAGAATTATCATATATATATATATATCATACTCACACAGCTCACACAACTGTGCAGTAATGTACCTGAAAATTGAAAACCTACTGTACAACACATTGATTGCAAATTATGAACATCATAATGATAAAGGACAATATTCATTTTGAACAGTATATTTACTAACGAAATGTACACTTTTTTAAATGTGAGGAATACAATTGTAAAAATCAAACAAAGGTAAAGTACAACAATGATTTGTACAGAAACTTGTTGTGAAACAAAATAATGACGTCCACAAGAGAGGAAAGCAAACAGACTTCCTCACTACTGGTCAGTACAAAAAAAAAAGCTTTAAAGCAACACTATTCACATAGCGATCTGTTGCAACCCAAGTTTGATTTGCTCAACACTAATATCATGAAGAAAAAAACCTGAATTGGAGAAAGCATACAACACTCTTTCCGTACGTACCTAGATCTCACATTCCATTCACACACCACAGTGCACGCCTCACGAAAAGGAAAACGACATTGACATCTACGACTGACTACCATTTGAAGCCCCACTCTCATCCACTAGAAGCAATATTTAACTTGAACGACGATGTATTTTGCCCATATCCACTAATTTCTCGTGGTTCACTCTATACCTATGAAACATTAACCTCTACCCCCGCGACTCCCCTCTCTGTCTCTCTCTATCTGTCTCTCTCTATCTGTCTCTCTCTCTGTCTCTGTCTCTGTCTGTCTGTCTGTCTGTCTGTCTGTCTGTCTGTCTGTCTCTCTCTCTCTCTC